ATAAAACACATACTTATTAGTTAATTTACATTTTTAATTAAAATACGTCGGGTATTCAGTCTTAGTTAATTAAAATGTGACGAATTAACGATAATTGAAAGAAATTCTAATTCATTCCAATAATTAACGCGAGCACGGAATTTACGTGAGCACACATGCGAGCAAATATTCGATTATATATGAATTCTAATACGCTGTCCATACAAAGTGATATTAATTATAAACCTTAATCATTTTTTGGCTATATTTTATGAAGTTTTAGGCGATTATACACGATTTTACCATGACGTCACTGGCGAAAATGTAGCTGGCTCGTGTAGGAATCGAACCCACGACCTTCAAAAAAAAAATTAAAAACAATATAAAAAAACTTGCCCCGTGTGGGAATCGAACCCACGATCGCCGAGTTTACTACTTCTGATGCAGCATGACTAAACGGAGGGAGGTAAACCGCGGCCCCTAAACCATAAATGCGATAAACCTAGTACCACACCAAGTACCAGTTAGTCAACTCTGATCCTACTAGAAAAAATTCTTTGTATATATACACTGCAGGTTAATAATACGCATGGTAATAGTGTCAAAAATGGGCCGTGGGCGCCAAGAGGGTTAATTTTTTTTTGTCTAAAAATGTAGAATTAAATTTATAATAGTTTTTTTTATTGTTACCATCTTCATAACTTACGTAATTTTTTTTAAATAGACAAAAATATTTGAAAAAGTCATTATGCAAATTAGAAAAAGATAGACCAATCACGTTACGGGAAACCAGGTGGTTGTGTGTTCAATTCCCACACGAACCATTTTTTTTTTTTTTTTTTTTTTTTTTTGTGGATAATGAATAGGCAACCTGGTTGTTGTGTGTTCGATTCCCACACAAACATTTTTTTTAAGGCAGTTTATTTGATGGTGGATAATGAATAGCAAACCTTGTGGTTGTGTGTTCGATTCCCACACAATTTTTTTTTAAATTTTTTATTTATTTTTTTTTAAGACAGTTTAGTTGATGGTGGATAATGAATAGCAAACCTGGAGGCTGTGTGTTCGATTCCCAGACGAACCATTTTTTGTTTTTTGTTAAGGTTAGGGCTTCATCCAATTGCAATTTATATATTTTATATGAGAAGAATCTATGAATATTCACCACACGAGCCAGGTTTTTTTTTCTTTTTTTTCTTTTTTTAATCTTCATTTTTGGCTAGTATTTAAGGACGTACTGTGTACAGTACTCGCGCGAATAAGCGCCCCGTTAATTTGAATAAGCGCCTCTTTCTCTTTTTCCGACCTTTAACACATTCTCATCTAGTTTTCAAGAAAAAATACAATGATCCTGCCATCCTGCTAATCTCAATCGGCCGATGGCCAACAAGCTAACCACTAGCATCTGCTATTTTGCTGTTATGTAAATATTCATGCATTCTTGTAATGAGCCATTTTCTCTGGACGATTATCTTTTCTAACCACCATTCGTGATGTCCTTATATAATCTTTTTTCATTCAAAAAGTGACTCTTGAATTTAAAAATTTTCCATAAAAGAACCCCTCGATTTTCATCTATTTCCATAAGCGCCCCCTCAATTTCCACTCTGTTTTCATAAGCGCCTCGTTTAAATAAGCGCCCCGTTTGAATAAGCGCCCCTCAGAAAGTGCAAAAAAAATATTTTAAGCGCACGGGCGCTTATTCGCGCGAGTACGGTATTCAGTGCCGTTTTGGTCATTGCCGTTTTCTTAATAAACCCGTGAATCTCTCGACGATTTTCTTTTTTTGCATTGCGCCCTCAAGCCTCTAACTACGTTCTGAAAGATGGCAGCTTCCAGGGTGCACACACGGTGTTTATGTTGTTTGCAAAAATTATTCCCCAAGCCCAAGCTGAATCCCAAGTTAATATTAAATAATTTCTCATCTAATTTTAACCTTGTTAAGTCTAGGGCGGTTTCGTCTGTTCTAAGTAAAGGTATGACATGGTTTCATTTCCTTATAAACAAAGTATTTGTAAGCCTAGCCTAGCTAGTGTAGGCCTATAAAGTAGGCTAGCTAGGGCCTGGCCTAGCCCCCCAGCCTAGGCTGGAGGAAGATACAAATCCTTCGCTCTACTAATAGGCCTACCCTATGCTAGTTAGTATTGTTGGTAAGGACTAAAAATGGCCTCGAGCAGTCTTACATTGCAACATTGACCAAGCAACATTGGTTAAAAACATCTTCTCTTGTTTTTTACAGCTAGACACCGAACATGTGTAAAAAATAACACTAAAACTAGAATAAAGTGGTGTAAAGCAGTGCTTGGATGATTTTGGAAGCTCACAGGAAACATCAAAGTTTGGGTGCGGCCCTTGGTGTTAATCAAAAATTGACTTTGGCCCTCCTACCAATTTTTATGCACACCCCTGGCTTATTGAATCAAAAGAGACAAAAAATAATCTATGGTGTGGAATGGTAATGTTCAAGAAACATCCAAACACAGCTTGAAATGGAACAGTTGCCCAGATTTCCCCTGAACAGCCAGCCCTCTGCCATTATGGACCCTGCTTACAAATTAACTGATCCCCTCCCCTGAATGTATCTTAATTAAGCCACCACTGCCTTAAATATGGATGTCTCAAAAGAGGAGTTTAACCACACTTAGGACATCTAAAAAAGAAAAGCCAGGCTCCAAAGAAAACAACTTTTGATATGTTGTACAACTGATTTTTCTAAGACACTAAAAGGGTGTTTGACGAATAATTTGGAAGAGTAAATGAGGTATAGATTTTTCAAAAATATTATTTATTAATGTTGATTTTTTTTTTTTCACCAGATGGTTGGGGAAAAGGGGCCAAGTTTGAACCATTTCAGGTAATGGTCGAAAGGAGGAGGAGTGAAGCATCCAGAAGTATTCTCTTTTTCTTGTCTGAGAGATCTTGTCTTGAAAACTTAATAGAATATTGTAACAGTCATGGAAAAGTTCAGAATTGTTTTGAATTTTACCAGAATGTAAGTAAACATGCTAATATTATCAAATATAAATGTCATTTTTGTAAAACACATTAATATTGCTAAGGTCTCTATTATTGAATAAATGCTGCAGTGCTTACAGTATCAGAGATAGGTTCTGTGGTGCTTACTCAAGAGTATATTGTATACAGGTCTCCCTCCAATTATGGACCGCTTTTGCTGGGACAAGTTTCCTTGGTCTTTTGTAGCATTGGTCTCTTAATTAGATTGATGAAGATAAAAAAAAAAACCCCTATTTTTAATTTGCAATCACGGAAAAGTGGTCTTTAATTGGAGTAGTGTGGTCTTTAATTGGAGAGGCTTTTATTTGGAGGGAGACCTGTATTAGGTTTACACGATATGCCTTTGTTTCATATCAGCATGGCAATATTAAACACCTGATTTCTCAGAAATTTAATATTTTACTTACATTGAACAAGTCGGATAAGCCTACAGCATGTACAACAGAATAGAGCGCCATCATAACACACCAATTATTTTTAATAAGTTTGTTACGCCTCTCTTGTATTTAAGTGCTTTTCTTGAGTACTGTAAGTTCTGCACTGAAGTCTCTAAGTATAAGTGATGATGACATTAATTTGGTTATTTACTATAGTTTAATTCAAGCGTGTATCCTTATCATTGAATAATAAAACAATGAAAAACTGAATTATCAGTTCTCACAGAAGACAAACATATTAAAAAGCATGAGCTGGCATTCTACTTGCACTTTTACAGGGAATTTAAAGTATTGATAAGATGAGGAAGGGTCAGATTTGCTTCTTGTAAATGCAGCCAGGCATACCCGAATTTGTACAGTTAATTAGCTTTGAAATTAGTTCACACAATCTCTGCACCATAAGTTTCAATAGCGTGTTCAGACTCTGAAACTATTACGCCCTCGCTGAAAGATATGTGAACAATGCTGATGGATAGTGTGAACTACTTAAAAGCTAATTAAATGTGCAGATCGGGGGAGCCTGGCCGGATTTGCCAGAAGCAAATTTTACCCCTCCATAAATTAAATCCATCACTCCCTAAGCCCAATAATGAGACTTGATTTAATAAAGCATAACTGTGGCCTGAGGGAGAACAGGAACAGTTATCAACAGGTTCTCCAATATATAATTTTTTTTTTTTTATAAACTATTCTTATTTTCTGCTCTTTAAATTAATTCCAGGCGTACTTTGCAGTTGTAGAATTCAAGAAAAAGGAGAGTGTTAAATTAATTCAGGAAAGAGTTTATAGTTCCAGAGGAATAGGAAGGTTTAATGATGAGTTGATACAGAACAGATTACTCAAGTACAACATTAAGTCCAGCCAGGCCTCAACAATCAGACCAAAAAACATTGTCAACAAAGACTTTCCTAATTCCCAACTAATCAAAACAGTTTGTCATGGAGATTCGGTAAGAGCACAATCTAATGCTTTGTGCATAGTTGTCAAATAGATAAAGAGTGTCACATGATGATTTGATAAACAAAGACATTCTTATAAATTGTTTGATTATTATATTATTGTTATGTTATACGTATATAGTGTCATAAATTCATGGCAACCAGGGGGTTTAGCTTTTTGAGCAGTTTATTGCAGTAGTAGTATTTTATCATGACTTTGTTTATTACAAAAACATTTCTGTGTTGAACTTCACCTATAGGAAATCCCCCTTCCTGTGAACCTGGTTACAGGCCTTACATGGGATGATGAAAGGTGTAAAATAAACAATTTGTACAGTGGAAAGAGGGGAAGGACAGAGATAATAGGGGAAGGGGACAACAGAGAAGTTAAGACAAGAGGGGTGATGGAATACCAGAATATCAGAAAGAATTGAATTATTTTTCCGAATGTTCAGCAATTATCTTAGTATCACTAGTTGATCTATGACGCCAAGTGGTATAAACCGTTGGATTTTCTCATTAGGAAACATTTTTCTTCTCAGAGAGAGTATCCAAACGGTAATCAGAAATTCTTGTGTTCATAGTCCGATGGGAACAATACATTTTTTTTTTGAAAATTCATTAATATTTTTTTAGGTATATTTTTTTGTACACTCAAAGAAATTGAGTAATTCTCAAATTATTTGTCCACTTTTGTATTGCTGCTGTTTATGTGGACATGACTACTGCAATACTAATACAGTAGTGGTGCCCTCAGCCATGCCTATTAAGCCTGGTTTTCATAACATCCCTACTGTACATTATCATTACAGCAAATACTACACTATGATGCAATTGGGAAGGGCCACCCCCCCCCCCCCTCCTCACACACAATAAAACACTCCCTGATTCTCGCTAACAATTCTGCAAAGTTGAACCATGTTTAGCATTTTCAATTTGTTGCGAATGAATCATAACCAACTAAATAATCATCTGCCTATTTTACATAATTAGTTCTGCTTCATCATAATCACACTTCATTTTCTTATGATGCTGAATTTGGTAAGAAGCTTCATCTTCATCATCATTGCGTGGCGAAAATTCCATGTAAAGAACCATTAGTGCCTCAGGATAATTAGCAAATGCTGATTGGCACGTGCATTCTTTATGCTACTAAATACCTAATAGATATTTCAATTGTTAGCTTGAAAAGGGCATAAAGGAATTTAATGATATGATTTTGAAAGACCAAGTTAATGCATAGGAACTAGTTGTTCAAATGATGTTCCATGAATAATCCATTTGTGTAGAAATGACTGTCTGCCATATGCTATAGCGATCAGTGATGTATCTAAGGGGTGCGCGGAACGAACCCCACCTC